CGATCTCTTTGTCTCTACCAATATTTTGCCCAAACTACAAATTGAAATAAAACCATGTAACTCAGTGAACTCGATAGGTGTGTAGTTGTGCTGGACTACAATCAAACTCTATTGAAATGAGGCTTTAATGTCTGCATGCTACAACACCAACAAATTGTGTATTTTGGTCCAAGATGTCTTAAAACTGCCTTGACTTGATCCAAGTTGCCTCTTTAATTTAGCATGAGAACTCTCCGCCTTACAAGTATGTATATTTTGATATTTAATATAAAATTCAAAAAATTATACAATTCATAAATGTAATGAACATAATTGCCTGTTTGTAGTAGTATTTTCGAAATGCATAGTACTGTTTGTCCAAACTGCAACAAATTTTTCCTTGTACGGCTCTAACCAATTGGTAGTAACATGCTTAATAGCTTCAGGATACGTACTAAATTCGGTCTTGAGATTGGAAAATTGTCCATTAAATTTCGTTTTTGTTCTAACCAATACCAAAGCACTCCAATTATGCATGAACTTATCCCATTTATCTTTCGTCTCAAAAACCTTATTGCACTTCATCATAACATTTCTGCTAATATGTCATCTACATAAAAGATTAGTGGCCATAGGTAGAACTTTTGAGATGCCTTTCATCAAAGCCAACTCTTTATCTATAATAATGACTTTTGGAAAAGCAGTATTCTCCATAACAGTACGCAATACGCCTAAACCCCATGTATAGTTGTCCTCCCGTTCATGACCAAGATAAGAAAAAGCAACTGAAAATGTCGAGTCTGTTGATGTTAACCCAACAATCTTTAAGAGAATAAGTCGATACGTAATAGTTTTGTATGTGCAATCCATAATCAACACATGTGGGAATGCACGTAACAACTCCAAACTAGTCGGGTGTGCCCAGAACAAGTCAGTCACCATCTGTTTATCATCACATCGATGCCACCCGATATAATTTTGAATCGACAATTGCCCCAATAGTTGTTGCATCTGTGATCTTCCCGCCCTCTGTACTATTCGATGTCGATGACTTGAGTTGTAGAGTGTCTTCATTGTTGTCGCATTAAAGGCATCCCTTCATTTCAATGTAACCAATATCTTTTTTGGTCACATCATACTCTTTGACATGTCAACTAATAAGGATGTTTCCTCCTTAGATAATTGCTAACAAATGAGTGTCCTTCAAGATGTTTAGCAAACACATAATTGTGCACTCCGCATAAGACATGCAACATCTACTCATCATTTGTAGGTAATTTTTCCCCCCTTAATAGAAATGGATATCCACACTTTTTAGAACCTGTCAACTTCAATCGTTCTTCCTTGATCTTTCTGTTGTCTCTATAGTAACTATTTCTTTTACAAGCAAGGGTAAGTCTTGATTTTCTGTCATTACCTCTCACATCTGATGTCTTTATAACAATGACAAATCCAGTCTTCTTCCCAACGTCAGAAGCCCATTTAATTAATGCTTGACGACTACTAAAAATCTAAACATAATAAATACATTTATATGTCAAATTATTAATAAAACTCAATACAAATTAAAAATAAGAAAAAATCGTATTCATAAAAAAACTTAAACAAACCTCGTCTGTAACGAATTCATGACTAGAGTCCACTAATAATGCAGTACTTGTGTTGTTGCAATAAGTATAAGTATAATCCTTCCAAGCAAAAAAAATGAAAAAATATAAAAAAAAAAATGAAACTGAAAATACATGGCAATGAGTAGCCAAACAAATTAAAAAAACCGAGCCCTATATTACCAAAAATGTATCTTTTATTCTGCAGTTGAATACCATACTTATATTTTTTATTCGATATTGTGATGCTGGACTATGTTATTTTGTTCGATTTCGAAACACCGAACAAAAGTCAAAGACCAACCTAGAAAATCAAAACAAAAACCTACCAAACAAATAAAAAAAACTCATCATTTCACTTTTTTTATGGTTCTTTACCACCGTTTCTTCATCCATTGCTTTCTTTGATGATCAAGACATTATGATTCTCACTTTTTGAAAAGAAATGTGTAAGAGAAAAGAAAACTTGAGAAAGGAAAAAGAAGAGTAGGGATCGAAGATCAAGGGGTGCAATGAGATAATAAAACATATTTAGGGGTTGTTTTGGATATTCTAAATAAGTGCACTTTTTGACTTTTTAGACTAAAAAATAGAGGGAAAAAAAATAGTTGTTTGGGATAACTTTTTGTCTTTTTACAAAAAAATGTGTATTAAAATAGCAAAATTACAAAATTACCCCTATGTCTTAGACTAGTGTAGCTGCACTGACTTTCTCTCTCCTTTCATTTTTTTTGTTTTTTAATGTAAGTGTGGCTTACATTGTGCCACGTTTTGCACTTTTATGAGAAATTGTGGTTGCTGCCACAGTGGCTGGACAGCCTGACCTGTTTTGAATTTTTTATAGATTTCCCACCAAAAAATAGGTGAATAGTATGAACTTTTTTTGCTTTTTTAGTAACTTTTTAACTTTTTTATATCATGCCAAACCAGCCCTTAATTTTAGTGTTTTGTCCTTAAAAGTAATTTCACATGTGGATAAAATTGGAAAAAAAAAATAATCTCATATGGAGGGTGTAAAGAGGTAAAATAGTGGTGTAACTAGAATCACCATAAAATAAAAGAGTGGTGCTATTAGCACTACATGAATTATTTTGAACCCCCCATTTCTTTAGACCCTCACTTATAAATTTTAAAACCCTTAAAATTTCTTTTCTTCCCCTAAATAATATCAAAATTATCCTTAAACATTCCACCCATTGAATAAACATCCCCCACACCCCTCAAAAAAACCTCTCTTCCAAAAAATCCTAACAAAACCCACTAAGAAGAAGAAGAGTCTCATCCTTTTCAAAACCCATGAAGAAGAAGAAGAAAAAAAGAAAAAAAGAAATAGAAAAAAGAATATTGTCTATGTTCATATAAGCAACAACATGGTATAGCCTTTTGACTAACTGCTACAGAGAGAGAGAGAGAGAGAGATCTTTATTTTTTATTTTAATCTCGTTTGGGCCATCTGATATGGTAACTTGTTGATCAACTGCTCTTGTTTAACATGGTATAGCCTTTTGATGTGCTCCCGTTTCTACCATAACATATCCTCCCTTTCTTCTCTCTATCTCTGTCTTGGGGCTGTAGCAGTGTGGATGGGTGCGTGTGTGGTCAGACTTGATGGAGAGCCATAAACAAAACAAAGTTGTAGTGTACCAAAAAATGACGAGTTTCTTTCATGTTCGGACTTGTATTCCCGAACAAATAAGTTATGTTCAAAAATGTGCTCTCGAACAAATAAATAATGTTCAGGTTTGTATTCCCGAACTTGAAAAAATAAAATTTCTGCGAGTGTTAAGAATTTTAATTGTTAACTCGCCATCATCTTGAAATAAATAATAATATAAATTAAATTTCAAAATGTGATCAGTAAAACAGGTATGAACCTATGAATAATGTTTGGTTACCTGTCTTCGAACAAATAAACAATGTTCGGGCCTGTATTCCTGAATTTCGGTCATATGTTCGAGAGATTAGTCCCGAAAAAATAACGAACATATTTTATTATTTTTGTCATTTTTTTCAAGAAACTTACCCTTACAAGGTCAATCTCTTCTGAGCTACGAACAATATCAAAAGTATGAACCTTCTTTATCAATAAGTTTTTATTGTTATACTCCTCTCGTCTTATGGAGTTGCTGTTGCCAAAAAAACTTCCACTCATTGTCATTGCCGAAGAATTGTAGGTAATCAAATGGTTGCCACCGTTACAGCCGGAATATTGCCGCAAAAGGGTTTTCAAGGTTTTGAGGGTGAGTAGGTATTAAAGGTGAGATTTGGGGAAGATAGATGGGTGGTGATGGAGGTGGGTGGTCTCATAAACCCTAATTCATGATGTATTGGGTGTGTAGGTTTAATTGTGAGATGGAGTGTCCCAAAATTAATGATTTCCTTTGTAATAATTTTATTTGAGGCTAAAAAAGAGTTAAAAATTGGGGGGTCCAAAATAATTCATGGGCTGCTAATAACGGCACTCAAAATAAAAAGAAATAGAATTTTCCATTGCAATGACCAAAATGCCCCTCTTCTCCCTCTCTCATTCATTTCTCTTTCTATCTCTTTGCCCTCTCAACTATCGACTACTAGCCATTACTCATCCGAGTCCAGATCGTCTGCCGTAATTTCCTGCGATGGCACCTTCAACATTTGTTGCTTGCCCTATTCCCACCCAACCTTGCCACAATCAACCCTCACCCACCTAGATGGGAGAGTGGCAAAAAGGTTTGGAGTGGATAAGGGTTTCGAGTGACAATTAAGTGTAGATGGGGAGTGAACTGTGTATAGAAGGGGCATGAGGTTTGTGTTGTCACAGTATCATGTTGTGAGCCTATGGAGGCTTATTTTAAGTCTATTTCAATAATTTAAATTGTTCATATTATAAAATTCATTGAGTAAATCATCTATAAAAAAGAAAGTAAATTAATTAAATATTTGTAATCTTATAACAAGATCATATATTTTTTACAAAATAAATAATTAACATGATTTTAAAAAAAAATTATAAAAAAAAATTAGAAACTATTCATGAAACTACACTTATTCAATTAACCTAATTTTTTTATTATTATAAATAATATACTCAGTAAATCTTAAAATATAAATAATTTGACTCATCAAAATAAATTTTGAACAATCTCGTATGAGACCTCACAGCAGCAGTGTCGTGCCTTATGACACGACACCAACGGTTGCCGAAGTTAGAGAGGAAAGACTGTAGAAGAAAATGGTGCCGCATTAGATGGGTGATTCTCACTTGTTTGTAATTAATTTTAATCTTCCCATGTATATTGTAATTCTCAAAAATTGTCAATGGTTTGCAAGTAGTTCCCCTTTTTATTTTAGGCTGCAGTTCTGACCCATTGGTGTTCTCTTTGTTGGCTTTTCTGTTGCTTTCAAAATAAATAAATAAATAAATAAAATAAAATAAAGCTTTAAAATCCCATGAAACATTAAAAACCCATTAAACATAGAAATTGAATACAAAACAAGGAGTGCAGCAAGTCACGCCCATGCCATCCTCTAATTCTGTTCCATGTAGGGTTGTCAATTTGGAGGCAAATTTTTTCAGGATGGAGTGTTTAAAACCCAGATCCTCCCCTCCCACTGGAGGCTAGAGACAGCTTCTGCTACCCAAGAGCTTCTTGAATTGAGCTTCTTCACAATAACACAATGTCAATGACAATGATTGCGATATGAATTGAGCTTCTTGGCCCAACCCTAACTTAGACGATGAATACATTATGACAGAACTGATTTACACTGCATTTTATAAACATTGGCAAGTTTTCAAACCGGGACTGTTTCTTCAAAGCGGGCATCAAGCCCACCATGGGACAATACTTCCCTTGCTCGTGCACTCCTATGTTGCAGACGCTGGTGTAAAGTCTCTGTCATCTGGTTGAAGAATTCGGCATCCCATCTATGTATCAAGGAGGGGTCTTCTGCATAACAGATGTATATTGATGTAACAGCACTTTCCACAACCACCATTGCCAATCCAACCTGAAAGATCAGATAATCATATAGCAATTTTTGTACCACCCACTAGTTCATGCAACATACATTCCCAGCCTATATCATGCCAAATTAGTCAACTGAAAAACTCCAGAATTTTTTAAAAAAGGAATTGTATATATGTTGGAAGCTCGTTAATTGATGAATATCAACAAATGCTTCACCAACCTCAAAAAAAAATTAAAAAAAATAAAATAAAAACCCAATATCTTCATATTAAATGTTAAGCCATTTATAATATGCAAATCAAGACGGTAAAACAATTGGTGAACTCAAATAGGAAATTTTAAAACCTGAAGAATAAAGTCTAATTCTTAGCCAGTATTGTGACAAGCGCACCTAGGCGCAAGGCGCAGGCTGTCCGCCTAAACTAGTCCCAAGCAAGGCACTTTGAAAAAGTCGCGCGCCTTAGGCGCGACTTGAAGCAGGCGAGAGAGGCGCAAGGCTCACGCCTAGGCGCGATTGATGGTTTAAGCCCTAATTCTGATCTAACGACTGTGGTGTGTGTTCGAATGGCTCTAACCATAGAGGATTACAACTCATACAATACAACCGCAATACAACTGAAATGAAATCCCTGATCTGTGTCGTCTCTTCCTCTCTCGACTTCGACCGGGCTACTGAACTTCGACTTCGACATTCCAAGTGCGCTACGACTTCTTCAACTTCGACTCTCTCTCTCTCTCTCTCCCCCCTCTTCTTCTTCTTCTTCTGCCCTAATCTGTGTCGTCGTCTTTTTTTTTTTTTTCTGGCTTCTTCAACTTCGATGGACTCTCTCTCTCTCTCTCTCTCTCTCCTTCTACTTCTTCTTCTTCTTCAACATTTCAAGTCTTTTTTTTTTCTTTTCTTCTTCTCTCTTCTTCGTTGCTTCAGTCTCTTCTGCTCTACTCTATTTTGTTTTTTTGTTTTGGTTCAATTATGCCTTTAGTCTCTGTTAGAAAAAAAAAATACAAATACAAAATAAGACTTATATTATTGATTGATTAACTAAAAAAATACACTAAATTTTTTTTTACAAATAATTAATTAATACGCTGCTATTGGTCTCTGTTTTTTTTTTACACTGAAAATGACACATTACATTACTTTATTTTCCATTACATTACATTACACTACACTGAGTGTAATTTTCCATTACATTATTTTCCATGACATTGTATTAATTAATTTTCCATTAATTAATACACTGCGCTAATGTGTAATTTTCCATTACACATTATTTTCCATTACATTACACAATTAATCACACATTACATTACATTACACCGAAATTATTTTCCATTTATTAAATTTGTTATGTAGAAAATGACATCGAAAAGTAATAGAAAAGATCCGGCATGGCAACATGCCCATTTTGGCAGAGGAGAATAATTTAAACAAGTTTGAGTGTAATTTTTGTGGTAAAGTATCAATGGAGGTGTTTATCGGGCGAAACAACACCTCACGGGAGGTTATAGGAATGTCACTGCTTGCCTGAAGTGTCCAGCTCATGTAAGAGAAGAGATTAGAGAGTTCATGTCAAAAAAGAAGACACAAAAAGAAGAAATGAACATGTTGCCTGATTTCGATGACATTGACATGGAAGATGAAAATGAAGATAAAGATGTTGTTGGGATCAATGTCAATCAACGCCGTAAGTTGACAAGAAGCAGCCAAGGTTCATCCAAATCCAAATCCAAATCCAAATCCAAATAAAAAATGTCAGAGAGAAAATGGTCTATGGATGTTTACTTCACACCCAATCCTGAATCAGTGGTGAAAAATTGAAGAGACCAAGCAAAAGGGAAGCAAACCAAAATTGATGCGACTGACCCTTACAAAAAAGAAATGAGAGCTCGGGCAGTGCAAAGATTTGCAAGGTGGATGTATGATGCTGGTATCCCTTTTAATGCAGTAAATTATGAGAGTTTTGGACCAATGATTGAAGTCATTAGGCAATATGGTCCCGGTATGAAGCCACCAACTTACCATGAAGTGTGGGTTACCCAACTCAAAAAAGAGATAAAACATACTAAAGATTTGATGAAGAATCATAAAGAGGATTGTGCAAAATACGGGTGTTCCATAATGGCTGATGGTTGGACTGATAAGAGAGGAAGGACATTGATTAACTTTTTAGTTAATTGTCCAAGAGGAACCATGTTTGTTGAGTCCGTTGATGCTTCTAGCTATTCACAAGATGGGCAGAAGCTATTTGAATTACTAGACAAGTTTGTGAAGAAAGTTGAAAAAGGGAATGTGGTGCAAGTTATCACTGATAGTGCTGCAGCTAATGTATTAGCGGGTAAGAATATTTCTTCCTTTCTTACGTCAAAATTGTTTACTCGTAGTTTGTTTTGTACTTAAAATTTAAAAATTTGAAAATAATAATTCTTCGTAATTATTACATTATAGGGAGGTTTTGGAAGCCAAGTATGAACACTTGTATTGGACACCATGTGCTACTTGATGTTAGAAGATATTTTCAAGATACCTAGACTAAAAAAGACATTTGAAAGGGGTATTGTAGTACATGGCTACATTTACAACCGGCCTACGTTGCTAAACATGATGAGGCGCTATACAAATCTGAAGAATTTGATAAAACCTGCAAAAACTAGATTTGCAACCGCCTTTCTGACTTTGTCTAGGATGCATCAACAAAAAAACTATTTGAGAAAGATGGTCACCTCTGAAGACTGGACCTCAAACAAATGGGCAAAGGAGCCACAAGGTAAAAGAATGGCACAAACTTTGTTGATGCCTTCATTTCGGAACACTGTTGTGTTTGTGCTTAAGGTCTCGGGTACTCTCATCAAAGTGCTTAGATTGGTTGATACCGAGAAGAAACCTCCCATGAGATACATTTACGAGGCAATGGATAGGGCAAAAGAATGCATTGCAAGTTCATTTGATCATAAAGAAAAGAAGTATAATGAAATCTTCGTAATCATCGACAAAAGATGGGATGTCTAATTGCATCGGCCTTTACATGCAGTTACGCACTTTCTTAACCCAGAATTCTTTGACCCAAAAGCGTTAGAGGTGCAAAAAGATCATGAAATGATGAATGGGTTTTATGAATGAGAGCTCTTTTGATTTTTGGGTTGAAAGCACACACACAGATTTTGGGAGAGAGAAGGAACAAAGCCATAAACAAAAAAAAAAAAAAAAAAAAAAAAGAAAAGAGAAGACTAAGACACATAGCACACACACCCAGCACGCACATGCACACCATACACAACACACTATACATACACCATACCCACCATACACGTAGAAGACATACACACACTGTCACTCTCTCTCATTTTTTTTTTCACTTTTCAACCCACCAGCACACATGCTTTCCTCCTTAATATATTATTATTATTATTATTATTATTATTATTATTAAACCCACCAAAAAAAAAATAATAAATAAATACCGAACACCATTGCCGATTTTCACAAAACAGTGGGACAAGAAACCACATGAATCACTTTCCTTATTTCCCTCATCTTTCATTTTGATTTCAAGTATATTCTTATTATTTCTTTCTTTATTTTTCTTTCACATTATTTTTAATCTTTTTCAAATTCCATTCATACCATCTAGCTTTGCACACCAAACCATCTTTTATTCATCTCAGGGATCAACCCCGATCACAATTTTACACACACAAAAAAAAAAACAACAACAACAACAACAACAACAACAAACCAAAACACAACACCAAAACGATCGCTCCACCAAAGACGACTATCCCCTCCTCCTCAAGCCCGCCGTCAACATCGAAGAGCTGGAGAAGAAATTCGCTGCCTACGTCCGCAACGATGTCTACGGCACGATGGGCCGCGGCGAGCTTCCCTGGGCCGAGAAGTTCCTGCTCGGAATCGCCCTATTGACGCTCGTCCCCATCCGCGTGGTCGTCTCACTCACGATTTTGGTGGTCTACTACTTGATTTGTAGGGTTTGTACTCTATTCTCGGCGCCTAATCGGGAGGAGGAGGATCAGGAGGATTACGCTCACATGGGAGGGTGGAGGAGGGCCGTGATTGTTCGGTCCGGGAGGTTTCTTGCGAGGGGTGCGACAGGTTTGTGACCGCCGTCATGGTCTCCACACATGACTTCAAAGTATACTGATTGGCCTCAATATCAGTTTGCACCGCCATTTTTTGCTCCACAGACCACATCGGAAAGTTCAACGGAGCAAACCCAGAGGCGCTTGGTTGAGGTTCTAGGGCCACCGCACCAGTTATTTCTCTTGTGGACTCGTTGAGGTCTGGAAAGAGAGTGAGCAGACCACGGGAAGAAGAGGCCATTTTCTGGGCAACAGAGTGTTTACAGAGTATTTCAGAATGCAAATGTTCGGCGGTTTCAGACTGGTTTGTACAGCCTCCGCCTCAACCTTGGTTAAATAGACAAGGCAGACACGCGCATCATGCGCCGCTCGGCGCTCGACGACAACATGGGCGCGTCTTTTGATGGCACGCCTTTTTATGGATTGGGCACGCCTTTTGATGGCACGCCTTTTGAAAAAATAGACACACATTTTGAGGGTGCGACTTTTCCTACGGTCCGACATGACCCCATAAACTGTCCCGACATTGATTCCGGTTAGCTCCTTCATGGGTCCGACAAGACTCTGTAAACTGTCCCGACATTGATTCCGGTTAGTTTCTACAAGGGTCCAGCAAGACTCCATAAACTGTCTTCTACATCGGTCCGACACGAGCCAGTGTCCTCTACAACGTTATGACACCACCATACAGTGTCCTCTACAACGTTATGACACCACCATACAGTGTCCTTTACAACGTTATGACACCACCATACAGTGTCTTCACCAATGGTCTGACACGACCATACAGTGTCTCCTATCCTCTTTTATTTTATGTATTAGTTTATTTTCTTGTTTTGTTACTCTCTCCAAACTCAAGTTGGTTAGTTCCTATCCCCCTTGAGTTTGCGGGGGGCTGTTAAAACCTATCACCTACTTCACCTACTCCACCACCTACTACACCTACGCCACCCACTTCACCTACTACATCTCCTATATAAAGAGCACCTCACCATTTGTAATTAACAACATACATCAATCAATAATACATCAATTTATCTTACATGGTATCAGAGCAAGGTTAAAGATCTTGGTGTTCTTCGCCTTCCGGCGGGCGGCAACCTTGCCTTGACCGCCCGCCGGATCTCAACCAATTCAAATCTCCCTCTCCCTCTCGGCACCTCACTGAAACACACTACCATGATCATCACTCAATCAATTCACAGCCCAACGGTAGCGTCGGAAGCTACCCTTCTTCCATCATCATCGCCCAGCGACGGTGGCAGGTCCAATTCGGTGTTGAAAGAATCGCACAGGGGACACTTCCAGGACTGGTGGTTCTGGTGGTGTTGCGGCCTCATACGCCTATCTCCGCCGCTGCCTCCTCCTGCAAGAACTGCCGCCGGTACTGGACCAAAGGCGGCGTCCTCCGCAACGTCCCCGTCGACGACGGCTGCCGGAAAACCAAAGAGCTCCAAACCCCCCAAAGAAATGGAGGAAAAACTACTCCAAAACAGGCTATACTATTGGGGAAACACACCAGAAGAAGACTACTACTCCAACCAAGGAATCAAATCCACCAAATCCTTCTACACCTCACCCAGAGGCCTCACCCTCTTCACTCAATCATGGCTTCCCCTTTCAAGCTCCCCTCCACGTGGCGTCATCCTGATGGTCCACGGCTACGGCAACGACATCAGCTGGACATTCCAGTCCACCCCAATCTTCCTCGCCCAACATGGGTTCGCCTGCTTCGCCCTAGATCTCGAAGGCCATGGCCAGTCCAACGGCCTCAAAGCCTTCCTCCCCGATGTCGATCTCGTCGTCGATGACTGTCTCAATTTCTTCAAATTCATCACTACCCAAAACCTCACCAAAAAAGACATCTTTGCACTCCTCTCTCTCGCCCCTTCCCTTTCGGCGATGGCAACTAGGAAGTATGGTTGGACAGGGTTACAGGAAGGGTTTGTCTGTCAATCTCGGCAAAAAGGGGTGTCATCAAAAGGCGTGCCCATTTTAGTTTATATATATATATATATGTTTTTTTATAATATTTTACTCAAAGCTCCAAGTACTCCACTCAAATGGGTTTATCTTAGCTTGCTCAGATGCTATCTCAATGGAAAGTTTTCATTTTTTTGACTAAAGCCACCGCCTTACACACAACCACTTCTTTTTTTTTTTTTCTTTTTTTTTTGTTACATGCCAAATTGATGTATTATTGATTGATGTATGTTGTTAATTACAAATGGTGAGGTGCTCTTTATATAGGAGATGTAGTAGGTGAAGTGGGTGGAGTAGGTGTAGTAGGTGGTGGAGTAGGTGAAGTGGGTGAAGTAGGTGATAGGTTTTAACAGGTTGGTCCTAGATGTCACTGTTCAAGATTTGATCACTAATGAGATGAGTATTTATATGAAGGCTGAGAGTCTTTTTGACAAGTCTGTTGCGATTAGGCAAAGAAATATAAGGGCACCAGGTAATATATTATAGATTCATAGAGTTTATTTTTAGTAATACTTTTAGTAAAACTCAATACTTGGTAACAATTATTTCTAACTAGTGATTATCGCAGCTGATTGATGGGCATCATATGGTTCTAAAACTCCAAACTTGCAAACTTTTGCCATAAAAGTCCTTAGCCTAACATGTAATTTATCGGGTTGTGAACGAAATTGGAGTGTATTTGAACATGTGAGTATTTAACATTCTAACTAATTTTTTGTTCAATTCAAATATTTTTTATTATCATTATATAGAATTTAATATCTTTTTAATACTTGCAGCTTCATAGCAAGAAAAGAAATAGATTGAAACAACAATGTCTCAATGATTTAGTGTTTGTCAAATATAATAGAACATTGAGATTTAGGTATGACATGCGCAACACTCTTGATCCCATATCTTTGCAAAATATTGATGTAAGTAATGAGTGGTTGCTTGGGAGGATGGATGGAGAATCAGATGAAGATAATGAGCCTGTGCTTGATGATGATGATGGCTTGGCGTGGGTCACCGTTGCTAGAGCTTTTGAAGTAGAAGAAAGTAGCCATGCAAGTAGAGCAACAAGTTCACGCTCAAAGACACAACCGAGGATATCTAAATCATCAAAGTTAACTCCACTTCAATTAATAGATGAAGACGAAGCGGGCTCAGATGACATAGAGGAAGATATTGAGGGATATAAATCAACTGATGGAGAAGAAGATAATAGTTTGCTTGCTATTGATGTTGAGGATGATGATTGACTGACTGATCGACTGACCTAGCCTACCCTTTCTTTTGATATTGATGTTTTTAAGTGTTAAGACATATATTAGTATTTGATGAATATTTATGTTTTGGATATTTACTGTTTATGTTTTTATTTTTATTTTATCTTTGAAAATTGGAATGTTATGTAAAATGCACTTTTATGACTTTGAGAATTATTCTATATTTTGTCTTGAATTTTGATTACTTTTTATTTTTAAAAAAATTGTCTTAGTACTATGAATGATTAGTCTATGTTAATTTTTCTATTTTTTACTAAAACTGTGCGTCTTACTTCAATAAAGCTTGCACCTCGCCTTGCGCCTAGGCCCCGAGAGATCTTCAGCGCCTTAGTGTGCCTTGAGCCTTTAAAAACACTGTTCTTAGCAGAGAAACAATAACAAAGTACACATGTCTCAAATCTTTTAAAACATACGGGCAAGCAAGTCTCAAAAAAATTGTACGCTTTTTTTAAAGTTGAACTATTTTTTTCATCCCCCCCAAAAAAAAAAAAAAAAAAAAAAAAAAAAAACCCTCTCAAGAACATTTGTCAAAAAAATCCAGCTAGAATATACTCAGCAACCAGTAATGGAAAAGGGCAAACATTTGTCAAGGAAGCAGGAGTAGTGCACATGGTTCAGTTTGGTTCAGATTAATTCAAACCAATCTTGAACAGTTCTCAAGATTCCAGCAGATCAACATTTTCTAACCTAGTTGGCTATAATTTTTTAAAAAATTGTCTTAGTACTATGAATGATTAGTCTATGTTAATTTTTCTATTTTTTACTAAAACTGTGCGTCTTACTTCAATAAAGCTTGCGCCTCGCCTTGCGCCTAGGCCCCGAGAGATCTTCAGCGCCTTAGTGCGCCTTGAGCCTTTAAAAACACTGTTCTTAGCAGAGAAACAATAACAAAGTACACATGCCTCAAATCTTTTAAAACATACGGGCAAGCAAGTCTCAAAAAAATGGTACGCTTTTTTTAAAGTTGAACTATTTATTCCATGCACCCCAAAAACAAAAAGAAGAAAAAAAAAAAAAACCCTCTCAAGAACATTTGTCAAAAAAATCCAGCTAGAATATACTCAGCAACCAGTAATGGAAAAGGGCAAACATTTGTCAAGGAAGCAGGAGTAGTGCACATGGTTCAGTTTGGTTCAGATTAATTCAAACCAATCTTGAACAGTTCTCAAGATTCCAGCAGATCAACATTTTCTAACCTAGTTGGCTATAAGCAAACCGCCCTCGCCAGACAAAAAAAGGCTTGCTTCAAACTACACTGACCAGTATGAACACTAAACAAGGTCCCAGAAAGTCATTACAGGTTTGGGCAAGCACAATGTCAAGTTAACATAGCAGAGAAACAAATACTACCTTCCAACCCTTAGTTGTACAAAGAGGAGGCAGGGACAGTAGCTGGGGCAGGAAGGGATCAGGAGCGGGGACTGGGGGAGCGGTGGCATATGGAAGTTTCTATGGTTGGAAGCGTGTGTGTATTTTATATTAAATATATAAATATATACTAACAATTATATTTTTCTGCTTAATATTAACATGTGTTAAAGTGTGAATTATAATTGGAGATTGATGTCAGCTACAATTGTCTTTGTTAAATATAAATAAATATTATGTAAATAGAAAGTAGTAGAATAAGTTTGAGTTGTTTTTCTTTTGGGTCTTTGAGATTTGTATATTTGAGAGGATCTATTTCAGTTGGGAGCTAGTTTCTTCCTCAATGGGAGCGAGTTTCTTACTTGGAAGCATGGAATTAGTTTCTAGAGTAAGAAACTTCACCCATGTAGGAGTTTCCTGCTACTAAGCTCCAATATACAGGTCACAGCACCCAACTCTGTCCTCTTCTATACCTAGGCCTGTTGAGTTGGGTAGATCCGAACTGAATGGATTGGGTGGGTCACTTGCTTCTCAACCCAAAGCCAATCCAGTAAACCAAACCCAAATTGGTAGGATTGCTTTGGTTATGGGATTGACTAGTTTCGATATGCATCATCAAAGCAGACACAATTTCATCAACTTACCAAGATCATTCCCATCAACATGGCCGTAGAGCCCACCATAATCACTCTGTCAGGATATTTAATCCTTGTCCAAACTCCTGCACAAGTTCCGGTAATAAGCCCACCTAAAAGAGTACCCATCAGTAGAACAGCACCCGAACAATCATAGGCAATGAGTGCTTCAACACCAGTTGATTGGAATAATTCCCAGGCATCTCTTGCTGAGTGATTAAAGCTTTTGCCGTAAACTGCAATCTGAAAGGAACAAAAGTATGTTGGTATATTCTCTAGGAACTGACAATTTCAGAAGTCTAATGAACAACTTGAGACAAAATTTAGATAAATGAATCAACAAACAAATTCTTATAATCTTGGTGGTAAAGTTTGTTTTTAAAAAATACTAAGAAATCACAAATAGCTGTACCAGCAAAAAAGTACTTTTCCCCCTGTTTAGGTCTCGTTTGGCAACTACATGTTTTAGCCAAAAAGTCACTATAAGTTGTCACATCACTCTCTCTACTTTTCTGCACATCTTTTCGTAAAAAGTCAAAAAGTTAGTAAAATAACTTGTTTCCAAATGAGGCCATAGTTTATATTTAATCAGACTTTGCAATGATAAACTTTGTAAGAATTATTGGACGTCCATCCATGTGCATAACTCTAAAAAATTCCCTCTAAAGATTGAAGACAATGATGCTACAACTTAGAAGTGATCACTATCGCAGAATGTCACCAGAATATTAAAATAAAAAATAAAATAAAATAAAAATTGTCACAAAGACTGTCAGTGTGAATTTACCAATAAAAGGATAATAGAATTACCTGGACATAGGCATACTTGTTGAAAAAACGAACCAGAGTCTCCACAAGATGAAACAGGAAATCAACACAGCACAGCAAACACTCATTGTTGCCGATCTTTGACCTGAATCCCCTAATCTGAAAGAATTCAATCAAACTGCATAATCAGTCATACCCATGCATGCTTGATAATATCTATGAATGCTATCCACTTGTGCAAATAATATTTCTGTAAAACTTAATTCAAAGCAGTATTTGACTACCTTCCACCGCAATGTCCGGATAGCAGCTGTAAAGAGTGATCCATAGCAGATGCTACCAAAAGAAGTAGTCATGGCATACCGCAGAGACTTCAACAGTGGCTTGGAAGGCATTGATGCCGCTTCTCGACCACCATGGATAAGAACAAGAAACACCATCCCAGACACAATAACATGAACAGTATTACAGAGAACTGCACCTGTCCAAAATAAACTTACAGAGAATACCTGCATATATAAATAACAGCACTTGTTGATCTCAGTGGAAGAAACAGACAATGATAATACCTTGTTCTTACTAAACCCTGACAATAACAAAAAGAATGAATAGCTAAAAACTTGCCAGCTCACCACAAGAAGCCACCAACGTCCACCATCACCCATGCTTGAAGCCACAACACCAGCTGCACCGAAAGACCATAGTGCTAGCCATAAAAGCATGACTAACATGAATGTGCATGCTACTCTCATAACCTCGGGAAGACTCCACACCATCTTAACAGCTCCTTGCAGAACCAACATGGTAAATGGAAGCCTACAGAAAAATATACAGTCAGGGAACAATGGAAACAGTTGATTAAAGGTTATTCCAAATCTTTATCATGAGAGAGAAGAGAGAGTTTTATTTAATGCAAACTAACCATTTGCTTACAAATTAAATCATAGCCTAATATATTTGCAAGATTTTCATAAGCAACTACTAACAATGATGCATTTAATTTGGAAGAGTCATCCCAAACTAATAAGAGAATGTTCTAAACCTTAACTATTGTGAAATTATTTATCTTTGATGAGTATGAATCCTCATGCAGGAACTAGAACTAAGTCAAGTGAAAAGAAATACAAAAGACCAAGCTATTTAAACTAAGAATTTAAAGTACTAATCTATACTAACATGATATGTTTCCAACATGTTTAGAGATGGACTCACTGTTGAAGTGTTATATTAAGAATTTTATTTGTACCAATCATATGACAAAATGCTTCATCATTACTAAAGAGCAAGTGACTGAAAAAAAACCCAGGTCCAGTCAGTAGTCACACAAAATTAATGTCTTAATATTCAAAAGTCATTGTTCTAATAATGAACAGTATAACATCATGATTTGGTCCATATATACCAACTGAATTCGTCTTTCCTACTAATTTGCATACATCTAAAAACTATGAAGTTGTGATACTGGTGACATATCCCACACGACGTAATCACTCTAACTAGAGCCAAAGCACCAAAAACATAATCAGATGAAATGAAGCTGTACAATCTCAAACTTTTACCTGTCTATAATTGATATGATATACAAGAATTGCAATGCAGCTCCAACAGCAAAAGCAACACCCCAGAAGAATTGTTTGCCCCAAAAACACAACACACTAATAACAGCGAGATAAGTAGTCAATATGTGAACCGCAAATTTCATCATTTGATTTGCACGTGAACCAAGCAATAACAACCAGGCCCACCCAATAACCGTCCCAACTCCACCAGCAACGGCATATAACGGCCAGTAATCCTCTGTTAAACCTGCTTGGTTTTCAAGAAACCTCATTGTGTACTTGTCAATGTTAAGCCTATCCTTCTTCTTAAACCTATTGAGCCCAAGAACTGTGAGAATTAAACCTACCCCAATCATATGCAACATAAATACACCTAACCAGAAAACATCCCGCCAATGACGCAGACCCTCCAGAGCCAATCCGGGAGACCGCGAATCACCACCGCCGGCACTTCTATGAATCCGCCCAACATTCTAAAATTCAAAACATAAAGCAATCTGCATAAGTAACAAAGACCAACGTGGCTATGTATGTATGTGTATGCACTTGAAACATTGTAAGTTTGAAAATTTTATTGTGATGGGTCAAATTTAAGATGGCCATGATCAAAAATTCTATAGCTATATATGTACATACATATATATACACACACTATCATATAAAGTACACAATTATGAACTGAAGCTTTATCACGTTTTATTATTTTTTGTAGAATCCCCATAAAATTGTTAATTGCTAAACAGTAGTGGCTCAAGAACCTTGCAGACCTTAGGCCAAACATCAAAACTAGCTTTTATCTTACTAGGCTTTTTTAAAATTGGAGCCTTTAACAATAATTTTTTTTTAAAATGTTCTTCATAGGCCTTAGGCAACTGGTTAAGTGGCCTAACGGTTATGCCACCGCTATTGCTAAAAGTTTAGATCCACAATTGTAATCGCTTCATGTGTGCACCCACTGCCACTATATATATATATATATATATAAAGCACATAACTCAGAAGGTCGCGACGCTTTGTAACATGTCATTTTTTTTTTAAAAAAAAATTTCCCAAAAATGTCCATATTATTAACTGCTTCAAATCACAACTGCTGACAGTTACCAAATAATTCAACCCACCTTGTCATAAAAAAAATTTAGAAGTAAAATTGCAATTAGTCTATTCTATACATGTATAAATTAGATTCAGAAAATTACATACATGTGTACATATAAAGTGCTTGAGACATGTAAATTGTTGAATTTTGAGCTGATTATTGAATGATGAAGTGGTGATCAGAAGAGTACCCGTTGGGCGGCGGCGAGTGAACCGGAGTCGTCGGAGGAGGAAGAAGAAGAGCAGGAGGAGGGGGTTTGAGAGTCGCTCATCGTGGAGTGAGTGATTGGAGGGTGAGGATGGGATTGGAAGAGTCGAGCATTGTTTGGGGATCAAATGGATCAATACTTAGGGTTTTGAATAGACAGAGGAGAGACAGAAGAAAGCATAATTAAAAAAAAAGACGTTTCGAAAATGAAAGTGGACTGGACACAATAACTGAACACCCTCACCTCACCGCAACTCAACTCAACGGCTAAAAAGTATATCACGTGGCGGATCTTCGGATCGTAATATGAATTCGGATCGTAATATGAATACGTAAGAGCATCTCCAACGGTTAACTTAATATTTCATCAAATCTGAGTTAAAAAATGACCATTTCCTGAATTTGATACTTCACACTCCAACGCTTCAGCTTCATCAAATATCAGTCAGGACAACCGGATGGTCGATCTGATGGTCGACCGGACCGGTCAACCGGGTAGAGGAAAATTTTTTTTTTCTAAAAAACCTTTCTGAACCAACAACTGAACTGTTTGAACCGACCAAGTGAACTGACGGATGTGAACCGGGAGGGGGCGACCGGTTGGTTGACCGGCCGGTCGACCGGTCATCTGTAATTTTTTTTTTTTTTCTTTTTTGATTTCCCTCCGTTTCTGTTCCTAATTATTTTGCTATTTCTTTTTCCCTCCATTGGTTTACCAAAATCTCATATAAACACATTATTATTTATATGCCAGACAAGGATCATATCTTACACAACTACACAACAATCATATCTTAAACAAAAACAGAGGGTAATGGATACTTTGAAATCCATAATATTTACTTCATTTTCATCCTCTTCTTCTTCCTCCTCCTCTGATGAGGAGTCTGATGATGAATATATGATTACACTTTTAGCAGCTTATGAGCAGAATACCAGTAGTATGGTTCAGATTCTTAAGTCAAGTGATAGCTCAAAGAAAATCGGGGGTTCTATTGTAGGTCACAAGTATATACGCAGAGATAGAAGGCAAGGTCATGACAGATTGTTTGCAGATTATTTTGCTGTAAATCCAGTGTATTCACCTACAATATTTCGGAGACGTTTTCGAATGCGTCGTCCTTTGTATTTGCGAATTTTGAATGCAATCGAAGCACAGAATCCATATTTTATTCAAAAACAAGATGCAGCTCGTGTACTTGGATTATCTGCCCTACAAAAAATGACTTCAGCGATGAGAATATTATCATACGGTGTTGCAGCAGATGCAGTTGATGATTACATACGTATTGGGGAAAGCACTGTCATTCAAAGTTTGCAACAATTTTGTTACTCAGTCATTGAAATCTTTGGAGTAGAATATCTGAGATCTCCGACACCAACTGACATTGCTAGGTTACTTGCTATTGGCGAGGTTCGGGGGTTTCCGGGTATGTTGGGAAGTTTAGATTGCATGCATTGGGAGTGGAAAAATTGTCCAAAAGCATGGCAAGGTCAATACGTAGGCCATCAAAAAAAGCCAACCATCATTCTTGAAGCAGTAGCTTCTTATGACTTATGGATTTGGCATGCATTTTTTGGAATGCCTAGGTCACACAATGACTTGAATGTATTAGACCGGTCACCTTTGTTTTCTGATCTTGCCCAAGGTAAGGCTCCCCCTGTCCACTACACTGTTAATGGACATACTTACGATATAGGTTATTACCTTGCCGATGGTATATACCCGCAATGGGCAACACTGGTTCAAACAATTTCTTCTCCCCAAGGAGCAAAGAGACAACATTTTGCAATGATGCAAGAGTCTGCCAGGAAAGATGTCGAGCGGGCATTCGGAGTCCTCCAATCTCGATTCGCAATTATAGGTGGTGCTGTACGTTTTTGGGATCCAAAAATGCTTACCAACATAATGAAGACTTGCATTATATTACACAATATGATTGTTGAAGATGAGAGGGAGGAGCACCTTGACTTTGATTATGAAATGTCATCTACCAACACACCAGTGCAACTTTCCTCTACTCCTACCAATGACTTTGAATCATTTTTGTCTCGTCATTTAAGTATTAGGGATAAAAATGCATATCATGCCCTCCGTAATGATTTAATAGAACATATGTGGCATCTAAATATCTATAATTATCCTGTGCATAGCACGGGTGATAGGCTAATATATTATATAAGGAAAAGGCTTGTGAGAGTTCCAAACTCTCATTCCACAATTGTTAATTTTTGTGATTTTAAAAATATTTAAAAATAATTCTATTGACTAACAAAGTAATTATAGATTTAAAAAACAAAAACAAAAAATAGCTAAAATTTTGAATTACAAGTTCTTCAAATCTCTCATCTTAATAGTTTTCTCTTTCGTAAATCCCATATCATAATAAAGTAACTATACATTTAAAAAAAAAAAAAAACGCACACACACACAAATCTCGTCTCATAACAAAGTAATTATATATATATATTTTTTTAAAAAAAAATTATAGATTAAAAAAACGTAAATCTACAATTGCTAATTTTTGTAATTTTAAAAATATTAAAAAATAGTACTATTGGCTAACAAAATAATAACTATAGATTAAAAAAAAACTAAAATTATTAATTTTTGTAATTTTAAAAATATTTAAAAATAATACTATTGGCTAACAAAGTAACTATAGATTTAAAAAAAAAAAATTTGAATTACAAGTTCCTAAAATATCTCCCCTAATATTTATCTCTTTCCTAAATCTCATAATCTATCAATCTATGCTATATATTATACTAAAGTGACTTTTCATCTTAGAGGCCCTAAGTGTTTTAAAACCTTAAATCTAATTTTTTGAATTTTTTATTTTCATAAAAAAAAAATTAAAGCATCTATTGGCTATCCCAAGGACATAAATATTAACCTTCAAAATTATTTAATGCAAATATATTGCTGGTAAAAAGAAAGAAATAAATAAAAAAGAACACAATTCTCAACCTTCCTCTCCCTCTCAAAATAAATCAAACATTTATTTAAAAAGAATATAAATCTCCTACAATCTTCTCTCTCCTAAAATAAATCTAATAAAAAGAAAACTCTTTCAACTCCCGTAAAATGTATACTATTAAAATATTTCACAACTAGTCTAATCTATATAAACCCAAAATTAAGCCTAACATAAAATAAAAATTAAACCTTATATCTAGATTCTCTCTCTATTCCATAATTAAATACAATTTTATTTCCAAATAAATTTAAGCATATCTATACTATATATAATTTTTTAGAAAAATCTCATAATTTATTGTTTTTTATAATGATTCCATGATTTATAATTTAAAAAAGAAAATAAGATGAAAAAAATAATTTTGTGCACTCTTTCTCTAACCAATTCTTTCTTCTATCTAAAAATCTTAGCCAGCATACGTTATACTTTTTCAAATGCATATAATAGTTTTTCAAAGTTATAAATAGAATATTTTAATTTTAATCAATTTTTTCAAAACTATTAAAGGTGTTAGTCAATTATTCAATTATTTATCTTTAATATGTGCAGCTCATCTATTCATTTTTGGCACTTTTCTCTCTATTCCACTGTGAGTTTATATGTTTTTAGGAAAAAAAATCATATGTAATTTAAAATTTTGAATCTTTTTATATAGGAAGTTAAAAAATAAATTTTAGAATTTTAAATATAGCTATACAAAACCATATCCTTTTAAATATAGCTATATTTATAATTAATTTTAATCTATCTATTACCTATCCTTAGTTTATATAAATAAAAATGTTGTACAATAATTAAAGTTCAAAGTCCTAATTTATTTTTTTTTTCGAAGTTTAAAATTGTTAAAATGCATATGTTGCAATATCATTAATTTCTTCCTATTATAAATCTTATAAGATTTATTCAATGACTAATATTCAATTTTTGTAAAAAAACTCCAATATATTCCTTTCAAAAGTTAATATAGCAAGTCCACAAAATTATATTTTAAAACTCAAAATTATTAATACTTTTATTTTTATTTATTTTTGTTTTGAAAAAACATGTTAAAATATAAATAATATCCAAATAAAACTATACGTATTAATAAATATGACATTAGTTTTAACTGTAATCACATCTTTTTAAAGTCTTTATTCATTTTTAACTTTTTTTTGAAATTTTAAATTATATGTTACAATGATTCTTTCTTATGCATTAAGTTTTTAAAATTTCTTTAATTATTTTCCTTTCAAAAAACCAATATAACAATTTTTTAAAATTCATATATTTTTATTCTAAAATAGTGAAGTATTAGAACTATGTCATTTTCTTATTTATAACAAAGCATAATTTTAATTGTTAATTGTCAATACAACAATTTTAATCTATGTTTATGAGTAAATATTATAGTAAAGGAACGTTTGAAACAAAACTCTTAAATTTATATATAAAATTTTATTTACGAGAAAAAAAATGTAAAAAATAAAATATACTAATTATTATATTTTTAATAAATAATATATTATTTTATCTCGAGCATGGCACGGGTGACATGCTAGTATCTATACTATATATTAAGCAAAATAAGGTTTTTAACCCTAAAGCCTGTGAGAGCTTCAACATCCCAATCTGAATTTTCTAAATTTCTTATTAAAAAAAAAACTTTGCATTTATTGATTTGATCAAAATCTCCTGATCAATATTTATTAACTTTTTTCAATCTACATGTATTTCCACATGCCTGCATTTATTGATTTGGTCAAAATCCTCTGATCAACATTTAAAATCCCCTCATACAAATAATTATAGGTACAATCCGTGTATAGTTACTGCAGTACCCTTTTCAACTTCTCCCATACTTTTATAGGA